AGTTTATTCTGTATTGGCTTTATGACTTTAAATCTGGTGATTATGATATAATCTTCATATTTTTAGCCCACTTGTATTCTTACTTATTAAAGAGAAATGATTTATCTTGTGCGGTGTTAATGTCTGAGTTTTACTATTATGTTTACTTTTGTATCGAGCTGTATAGTTCGTTCAAACATAAAAGAAATTCTAATTTTCCAATTTGGTACCGTGGTGAGCTCATTTCATATCTTGTACGTTAAGAAGGGGCACAGTCTTCTTACAAGAAATTTGATTTGCTTATGCACTAAACCTTATTCTCTAGAGACGCCGTTATAAAGAGTTAGTCACGCGGATTTGAATAATTATAATACTCATATTCCGAAGCAACTAATTTCAAGTCCAAAGTATTTTTGGAGATATATAAACTCCAAGAAAACAGAAACTTTTCTTCCATATGTCATGCATAGAAATGGTATGCCTATGGTTGACAGTAAATCAATTGCTTGTGAATTTGCTGTCTATTTTTCTAATTGTTATACTCGACCATAAAACCAAGTTGATAATTTTGCTCTCCCATTTCAGACCCGCAACACAGTCAATAGTATTGAGATATCTGTTTCTGAAATTTATGTTAAAATTCTTTGAATGGATGAGGGTAGGGGTTCCGGTTCCGATGGAATCCTATCATTGTTCTTAAAAATACTAATTTCATTTCATCACTAATTCTAAAAATTTTGTTCGACAGATCATTCTTAAAAGACTCTTTCCTGGGGAATGGAAGTCCTTCTATATTATTTCAATCTTTAAGTCTGGTGACAAAAGCGATATTGTTAATTACCATCCGATTTCAATTTTAACTACTTCACCGAAACTTTATGAATCCATTGTTTCTGATAAATTGAAACCGTTAATCTGTTATTTTCTGTCCGAAAGACAATTTGGTTTTATAAGCAAGAGAAGTATTGATGTGACCCTTGTATACATCTTGGAGTCACTCGAAAAGAATTGGCAAGTTTATATTATCTGTATAGATTTTAGCAAGGCCTTTGATTCAGTGAATCACGTGTTAATGTTACAGAAATTTAAGTCTTTTGTAATAAGCGACAAATTACTGGATTTGTTCATTAACTACCTGAAATGTGTAAAATGTACAGACTCTATATCTCTTTTTCTGTTCTTTCTGTGGTACCTCAGGGCTCACACTTGGATCCTTTGCTATTTATAATGTTTATAGATGATTCATATTTGTTCTTGATTGTAAACTTTTTGTCAGCAGTTCAAGTGATGTTCTTTGTTTATAAAATGCCCTCGACAAGTTAACTGGGTGGTGTCCAAATAATTATCTAATTTAAATATGTAAGTGTATTACTTTTACTAGATCAAGATCAAGTATACTGTTTAACTATGAAATTAACTCTATTAAAATAGAACGTGTCTTAAATATTAGAGACCTTGGAGTTATTTTTGAATCAAAAACGTCATTTTCTGAGAGTTCATTGTAAATAAATCGAACCAACTACTGAGAACTTGTATTAGCTTTAATACTGTTCTTACCTTAAAAACTTTGTACACTATAATTGTGATGTCTATCCTTGTTGCTTGTGTAGTTTGGTCGTCTGCCTTTCAGGTTTACATTCGCAAACTTGAAACTGTCCAAACAGATTCTTTAGGTTCTAGATGGCTAGGATTACGAGACCCGTTCATTAATCATGATTACAGTGATATTACGACTGCTTTGAACATGCCACCTCTTATGTCTCTCAGAAATTATAATGATTTGATATTTTGTACAATTTCGTCAACTCACATGTTACATACTCTCAAATATTACCCGAAATGTCCTCCTAAATATTGCCCAATTGTTCTCACATACTTTTTCTCAACTATTTTTAACATTTTTCTCAAAAACGTTCCCTCGAAAATGTTTCCCCAAATCTTCTCCACACGTTTCCGCACATGTTAATCCGGAAATATTGCAAATTCAAAATGTTATTATAACTGTTTCTTATTACGAAATACTTTTATTTTAAACCCCAACGGCGGATACTGAGAAAGCTTCCTCTTTTGGTGGG